AAATATGCTGCACTACATTAAAGGTTCTTATTCCGGCGCCAATTTGTTTAAATCTGTCACTTTGTGAAAAATGCTGCTATATTGCAGTGGGCAACAAAGTTGATATTGTACTGTATTGAGAAAAGTGCCACAGACCTGAACAAGGTCCCTCCACTGTTATTATATCGAATGTGTAACACTGCCCTATTAGCATTTTTCCCCTTTTCTTCTGTAGAACACTGGTCTGCATCAAAATAACAAACAACAATGCAGAAAATGGTTTCAATATTTTTTTTCCACATTGAAGACAGTGGGGCGGCCCGGTGGTCCAGTGGTTAGTGCGTCAACCTCACAGTGCAGAGGTACCAGGTTCAATTCCAGCTCCGGCCTCCCTGTGTGGAGTTTGCATGTTTTCCCTGGGCCTGCGTGGGTTTTCTCCGGGTACTCCGGTTTCCTCCCACATTCCAAAAACATGCATGGCAGGCTGATTGAACACTCAGAATTGTCCCTCGGTGTGAGTGTGGGCGTGGATGTTTGTTCGTCTCTTTGTGCCCTCGGATTGGCTGGCAAACCGGTTCAGGGTGTCCCGCGCTTGCTGCCCAAAGAAAGCAGGGATAGGCTCCTGCACCCCCTGCGACCCTTGTGAGGATAAGCGGATTGAAAAATGGATGGATGAAGACAGTGGTACCATTCATATTGCCGCATCTTCTCCTGTTTTTCTGTTATGCGCTGTGTGCAATTTTATTTTATTTATTTACTTATTTATTGCCATTTTGCTCAGCTACTAGGTGGCACACTGGCCCAACCATGCAGCTCAAAGGGATCACTGCACACAACTAACTTTTAAGATAAGTTCCAACAACAATACTTGAACTGCCAAGGGAATTTTGGGAACATTTTATTTTTCCCCAAACGGTCAGTGTATTTCCCAGCCTTTCCTGGGCATCATGGCCAGCCAGCCCTCACACTCATCGACGATCATTTTTCGTTATGTGACTGCCACACCCCGTCGTTGACTACGTTTCGACGCGACGGCCCTTCGACGACAACTTTTCAATGCATGACGGCCGCAGTAAAACAACTGTGTGAAGCCTATTTTGAAATCGACCTCAGGGTCCTACAAAAAGCATGGGCCCCTCTCACTCTCTGACAGTGTCTGTGAGACAATGTCCAAATATAAAAAAAGGGAGCACATAGAGAAAAACGGAGATTGGATTCTCCAGCTGGAACTTCCCTCGAAAATGTTGACGACTGAATGAAGCTTTATTGTTTCTGAGTGTATGACATACCCAACTAGCGAAATGTTGAGCAGGTATAATTACAAAACTGCAAAACACCATGTCACATCGTGTCAATTTCTGCTGACAGCAAGCTACACTGCTACACATAAACATACACGTAGCTGTTTGGTGGCCTTGTCTGCCAGTGAGGTACTTGAAGCTTGTTTCTGTGCGCTTGCGTTGTTGTGTGTGTGATGGCGTGTGTTGCACTTAACTGAAGCTGTGTCTATTTCTGTCCGGGGTCATATGATGCTAGGCAGAGTAGATGTTATGTGTTTACAACAGTTTTATCCTGAGAGGACCACGACAGTTTGCCGACAATCACGTTTGACTGCCTCTATTGCACAGCACAGCATGCATGACTGTGAACTTTGTGCTGGGATTAATGAGAATATTGTGGTAGTACTGTAGTGAAAATAAAAAGAAAGTTGACATTGGCTTGAAGTTAGTTTTCTAAAAACAAAGAGCACCTCAAATCATATGAACCCAGCTGCGTAGTTTATGGACATCTAGACCATTAAATATGCACAGCTATAGTATATACAAGCCTCTTTTCCAAAAAATTGACATGCCAGAACCATAAGAGAAGATTTACATTTATCTGGCCTTGCATTTGACACAGAATGGAGCAAAGCAGGAACGTGCAAAACGGTATCCCGCTATCAGATAATTTGACAGGGCACATGTCAGCGTCAGAGTCTAGTGTACCATATAAAGTACTTGTCGGATAGTGTCAAAAAGGGAGAAGTGTTGGCCTGGGGTTAAATTAACCCCCCCTACACACACACACACACACCACCCTCTACTAACGTTAAAACATTCCCTTGAATATTCCGTACTGCTTTTGTTATTGCATTGGTACTACCTCTAGACCATCAGTCGGCATCCCGCGGCTCCGGAGCCTCATGCGGCTCTTTCATCCTTATAATGCGGCTCTGATTGGCTTGGGAAAATAAATTACTAAAAATTTTTTTTTTGTATTTAATTGAAGTGTGTTTTATTTGTGTTAGTTTTTATATTATTTTAGTTCTAAATTTGAAGATTATTGTGATCTTGAAATATTAAAATATTAATTAAATTATTTGATATTATTTTTTCGTCGCTCAAAATAGACGTCACACTGCGGAAGCTGGTATACCCGCTGAAACGGCGTCTATTTTGAGCGACTTTCAACCCCGGCAAAGCCAATGGAGAAATGTAAGAAAAGAAAAATATCTCAAGAAAATAGAACATTCAATGATGCCTGGGCAGATTCATTTGCATTTACCTCGGGCGAGAGTGGCCTACCAGTATGCCTAATTTGTGGAGAAAAACTGGCTAACAATAAACGGTCAAATGTCGCAAGACATTTTAACAATACACACAGAGCCTTTGCTGAAAAATATCCAGAGGGAGAAGAGAGGAAAAAAGCTGTTTCGGAGGCTCTTTCGGTGTCAAAGGTTGCCGACCGCTGCTCTAGACCCACCCCCATCACAGCTCCCAGCACCATTTGTACCGAACAGCCGCCGAGAAATAAGTGATACAAATGCCAACTTGAACACACACGTGTAAAAGGGGGTACATGTACATATGCAGTTTCCATGGCAACTACCTATTGTTGCCAAAGTCGCATTGAGGAAGCTCCACACCTTTGCCATAGTGGCTCTGCATCATCAGTACAATAGACAGCTTTGTGGCAATGCCCAGCGCGTTTGTCTGCATTGGCCACTTAAGACTTCTCCATTCAATGGAACATTGTTCAGATGATTGCAGGTATTGCAGTCACTTTCCCAACCCTTGACAGAGGCCGTCTTTTGCGACATATGGCATATTGCTGCAAGTCGTTACACGTGCTTCATATCAAATCCAGATGTACGGGTGTGGTAGTAAAAAATACATTATCAACTGAAACCAAACTCTTCCCCTGACAGTGCAGACTTGAGCTGCTGAATTACTGTGCAATGAATAGATTTTGCCAGTACTAACACTTTCTTGGGCCTTTTGGCCTCCCTGTGGTACTCTGACATCTGTTAGCCCCACCCTTAACAATAATATGCAGTCTCGTGATGGATGGATGAATGGATAACGAAAGAAATGAAGCAAGAAAGAGCATCTTGTATTTTTGGGTTACGTTTGGGTTAGTATCATTCACTACGAGCCTAACCCTTGGCTAATTCGTCAATAGAGAGGACAAACTATATTATATCTACGTTATAGTGTTCTCAAATGAACCATCCCAAGCAAGCCTCATCAGTAGCCTTATTCTTGTATCCAGCCTTTGCTTGCATGCTGGACAAACTGTGCTGAGAACAGGCTTTCTCTATTGGATGGATTTGCACTTTGCAAGAGAGCACAGCCCCACACATCCATGCATAAGAACCTATTGCCCCCACCTTTGCCCACAGGCGGACACAAAGTCATGCAAACCCAAACACATACAAACACAAAGACACGCAGGAACAGTCCCACACAAAAACTCAAGTCAGACTGAGCAGTCACACAAACGTTCTGTCAGTCATCATGACGTCCCTGGGTAGACATCCAGCCTGAGGCCTTCCAGTAAAGGACAGTGACTGAGCCTTCAGGCAAGAAAATGACACAATTCTTTCAGGATGTCAAAATATTCACAATAGCATGATTTTACTGTAATAAATATGCCTCATTATCGTTGTGGTCTTGTCGGTACAAAAATAATTGCCGTTGTGTATGTGTCAGAGATTTTCTCGGACAAAGTTAAAGAAATGACTCGGCACACAGGAAAATTGTCTTCAATTTATACATGATACAATTTTGTTCATAGATTTCTCTATCAGTATGATATTTAGGTTTTGGGTCAGCTATAGCACATGGCATAGCCCGGCTGCTGTAACCATGGCTATAGAATCTTCTCCACTTCTCCAGTATACTGTACATGCACCCAATTGGCTGTGTAACCCATGTGACCACATCACAAGAATTAGAGTCATGATTGGCTGACTGGCCACTATCAGCGTATTGCAGTGCTGGAATGTAGAAGTACCGGTACTGTGGACAAACCGCTGGCAGGTCCAGGTTACGTAAGGAGCGTACATTAATCGTGTGATTTGAAAATAAATAAATAATGGAATGGAGAGATCTCATGTGAATAACGACACATTAATCATTAACACTCCAACCGCAACCAGTTCCGTCCCGGAGGTACACCTTATGCGAGTGACGCATCATAATCGACTGGGGAAGAGGCACCTCTCGCCGCCCGCCTCCGTCCTCCCAAGGGCTGGTTCACACAGGTTGGAGCAGCCTGTGTCCCAGCTCTGGGAGGTGAGGCTGCCTTCACCTCCGACCTTAGATCAGCCAAGACAACCCGCCGAATTTAACCATGTCATTAAGCAGAAAAAAAAACCACAAGAATTCTTCTGATTATTTTATTTCTTGTTCTTGTTTCTCACACTTGACTTGAATTTTTGAGGTTGAAATTGTTTGAACTGGGACAGATGTTTTTGGAGAAGCCCCATCAAGATGAGAGAATTACACCGCTCAGTGCTATTTTAAGCATATTTGTGACTATTTTTCATTTTACTTTTTTTCCTCATTGTCTTCTTACCTCTCTTTCTTTCATCATAGTGTCAATCAGAGAGAGTCACAGACTTATCACATGGAAACAGTGTGATGCCTTTGACAAAATATTTTGTCTCTGCACTTGAACCCAGTAGATCCAAACTCTGACTTGGTCACAGATTCACTGAACTCAATTATGCCTGTTTGTCTATTTTTGTCTTTCAGGAGGCACCAGAGACATCGGATCAGCCTTGACAAGGATGTGCATGAGACATCGCAGCATCGAAGCCAAATTCAAACAGTTCTCCATGTAAGGAATTGAATGTGTGTGGCACCCATCTTTGCTCAAGTACCACACTACTGACATTTATTTACACGCCAGCTCTGTTTTAGTCAGTGCTTGACTGGAATGTAAGTTTGTCCGGGTTTGCATGTACAATCAAGCCTGCCACCATGGAGTATGTCGTAACTCATCAACACATTTGGTGTTCTTCGACCCTCATGAGACACATCCAATAAAAGTCTCTGCACATGTGATGTCACTCTACGCACCAAGTGTTGATGTCATGTGCTCCTTTGTGCGACTATGCCCCCTGTAATACTGTACTGAGCAAGAGATGATGCGTCAAGCATTCACTATCTATGTTTTGGAGTAGACTCTCACATATGTACACCACATTTCTCTCACCATTTCGCGCGCACACACACACACACACACACACACACACACACACACACACACACACACACACACACACACACGCACACGCACACATGCGCGCTACCCACCCAGACAAGGGGCTCTAATTTCGAATGGCATTTCAGCACATTCCTCTTGAATCTCTATAGCAGGACTCTGCAGACGGGTGGGGGCTATACCGACACACCCACTGACAGACAGACAGACAGAAATGTCTGCAAAAGAGCGGTGCAGTCTAATTTTAGTTGCATGTACTAAGCCTGCAGCTGCCAAGCACTCACAGCTTCTTAAACACAGTCACAAATGCACAAATGTCTCTTGACTCAGTGAGGTAATGATTGACATATATTACTGCACAAGCTTCTAACATCCAACTGTGACACAGTTGGGTATAAACACTGTTGCTCGATCTCCCGCCTGTTAATGATTGACAAAATAGACCACCTTTTGGTTGAACTATCTGGTTGTCTGTCATATATGCCAATAAACTGGAGTGAGGTTGTACAATGACAGTGAAACATGAAAACATTTGCCATTGTCACAGAAATACACCAAAAAAATTGAAATTGGGAGGACCTGTAAATTTTAAATGAACTTCACTAATAACACTAGTAACTTCTTTTTTCTGCAGGACCTTCTTGGAAGCTCTGATCAACCCCCTACAAGAACAGATGGAGGAGTGGAAAAGAGGTGTCTACACTCTGGATAAGGACCATGCCAGAGGTATCTGTCATCGGTCACTGATTTAGGCCTGTCATGATAATTACCTTATCGCTTTGTTGTTTGATAAATAATATGGCCACAATAGTTCTTTCCAGACTCGGTAGATTTTCATTTACATGTTTGTGTGTTTACACTTGTCATCAATGTTCAGTTGCACTGCTTCATTCCTCAACAAGCTAGTATGTCGCATTTGTATGAACAAAGTCACAACACAGTGGACCTCGAAGTCCATTTAAAAGGCACCCACCCCACCCAATTTCTTCAGATGGAAGCAAAAAGAAAAAAAAACAAAAACATGGTGGGACATAGAGGACTGTCTATTTCCTGACTGCTTGCAATTATAATGCCTCACATATAGTTTTACTGGCTGTAAGGCAAAAGGATTCAGCCATTCAACACTGTGGAGAAACCGGCATTTAAACTTAAAAGGAATATTGCAGACTTTTGGTAGGCATTACAAATTGACAAAAAAAACAAACAAACAGCCATTCCAGTCTTGTACAAATGAGTGAATATGGACATTGTAAAGGAGATAAAAGTTATCAGAAATCTCATTTTACTCTGCCATTACAGATATGTACTTTTGTGTTATATGTTACTATTTACCATTAGTGCATTTTTTCTGCATAGAGCATGAGTCTGCTTTATTGTTTTATTTATCCAAGACATGTATTTATTGTGACATTTCAATGCCACCATTTATAAATTAAAAGTTAATTCCACTTGAAAAAGATGCACACTACTTGAAATATTATGCTCTACTATCGTTATTAGTGACATTAAAAAAAAAAAAAACAACAACAACAACAATTGGTTATCTTGATAGTTTCTGAGAAAATGTGTTGTCCTAAAAAAAATGTCATTGTGTCAGGCCTAGTCACTGTCATCGCTTTGAGCGGACATATCAAGATTCTACTGTAATCTGCTCTGCCACTGTGGGACATTAATACAAATTTCCTGCACACATTTGTCTTCACTAGAATATAAGAGAGCTCGGCAGGAGATCAAGAAAAAGTCATCAGACACACTGAAACTTCAGAAGAAAGCAAAGAAAGGTAAAAACACAGACTTATTTTGCTCCAATCTTAATATTTATTGAATAAATACATTACAGAGCAGAACCTCAGTGATGTGTGCAGAAGTACTTTGTCCCGAACGATGAAGATTGCAAATCTGGTACAGCTAAACATTGCCTTACTTGGTAGCTTGTGCAGGGCAATTTTTTTTCTCTCTCTGAAGTTCTCTTGGCTCAGGTTTTACAAACACCTGTACCCATTTAAAATATAAATGTGCTACAAAAAGCAGTTGGATACACTTCCTTCCACTTTGTTTTGAGATATTTATAATTGGACGTTGTAAAACATTCCATCAGTTCAACTGTAAAACTTGTCAAGCAAATTTGGTGATTATTCCTTGTTGTTCTACATAGCAAGTTCAGTTCAATGCACTGACTGACCACAATGCAGACACTTCCAAAAGGAAGGTGTCATTCTTTCAGTTGACTTTGTTTCTCTCCTTGCTCTCATGTGGTTCTGATAACCATCCTTCTCTTCCTGGAGCTGATACTGTGGGTAAGTCAGTCAGTGTCATTGCATCGGTAGATGTTTGCAATGCTTTGCCAAGACCATTGGTTCCATTGTGGAGAGGCCATCAAAACGGACTGATAGAGAATATCAGTTGGCTACTCCACAGATGGAGTCTTTAATTTAAATTTTTTGGTTGCTATGGGTACATTGATAGTATGCTGCCAGTTTAGGAGCCTTACCCTAGCTAACTGCGACCCCGGGTCTTCCCTTTTATGTATCTTCCTCTGCCTCCTTTCCTTTGTTTTGTCATGGCTTTTCTCATTCAAGCTGTGCGGTTACACTGCATGTAGCCTCAATGATTACGTTCCTGATGTTTTGCAAAGGGCATCAGATTATAAATACACAAACAAACCAAATATAACATACTTGTAGGGAAAGCCAAATAAAAAAAATGCTGTTTACAATGATACTGGTCGAAACACGGCATTCAGATTAATATTGCGCTTGTAGAATGTTAATTAAGCAGCAAAATCCACAGCAAAAGGCTTTCTTGACATGTGTTTTAGGCATCAAATTATCAAAAAGTATCAGTTTGAACATTGAATATCTTGTCTTTGTCATGGAGCCACGATAGAATTTCTACTGTTCCACGGTAAGGCTGGGTTTTCAAGTTCTCCTAAATGTTCCACTCCTTATTATGGTACTTTCAAATAACTACTTGTTAACTGTAACATTAATCACAAATACACTTAGTCGTCAATGTCTCATTCAAAGAATGGAAAATACAGCCATTGTGTGCTTGGGTAACAAATAGCTCACAAGTTTGGTTATGTGGTTTAAACCAAACAAATGTCCCGTACCCTTCAGCTGAGTTGTACAAGTAGTTCAACCCAGAACCTCTTACACTTCAACCCAGAACCTCTTACAGTGTCACCGTAGAAATCATCCAAGCCGGTTATCCTCACGAGGGTCATAGGCGTGCTGCAGCCTATCCCGGCTGTCTTCGGGCAGTAGGCGGGGTACATCTGAAGTGGTTTCCAGTCACTTGCAGACTAGTAGAAACCTGTGGGTTTAGAGTGTTAGTGCCTTTAATTAAACAACATGGTACTGCAACTATATACCATATGTCATCACAAACTGCTTCAATTTTTCTCCATTTTGCATATTATATATTTTTTATTCATTCTACATGGTAGATTTTCAAACAGCAGACTGCCATTCAGACAAACGTTACCATTATTTGTTCACATTGGACATCAATTCTCAACAGGCGAAAAATCCCTTTGCAGATAATACAGCTAAAACAGCCAGTGCGTCCATGTATACCACCCATCAACCTGTAGTGTTTAGAATTTACTGGCATGGATTTCTTTGTATTATTTGCCCAAATCCTTTGACAAGTCATGACTTCCTGTGACTGGAAAAACAGTTAGTCGTAATTGGGCATTTCCCCGCTTTGGGCAAAAGCACGAACTTTAACAACCTCCATTCACTCAAAGCAGCTGTGAAACTTGCAGTGTACAGTATATTTGTTGACCTCATTCGTCATGCCTCATGAATGTCATACCTTGTAATATAATCAGCCATGTTTTTTTTTTAATATGATGATTATGTATAATGATGCAGTGTTCAGCGGCAAAAGTATATACAGTGAATTTGTCATGACGTCTGTGCTGCGGAACTTCTGACTGCCATTGACAAGGTCTGATGGACTTGTAAGGCGCCATTTGGGTTTGGTTACCCAGGCAGAAGATCTAATAGACCCGAGTGTTGTTCACTTGGAGTTTAACAACAGCGTATCAAATACTTTGCAGGCCATTGTATCTCCCGGCTTTGGGTAGATGCCAACTTTTGTGCCTCCATTTGAAAATGCCGAATGGCTGCACTACATCTTCCCTCAAATCTGTTTCATTTGACAGAGTCTTGTCGAGGTAGGGACTGGCAGTCTCACCATGCATCAGTGTTTTCCAAAACAGCCATAGGATTACCCTAGAGCAGAATCATTCTTACCACTTTTGTAGAGAGGCCTTCTCATACACTCATGCAGGGAGAAGACAACTTCAATTTTTCTACCACAGTCTGCATTTGAGAGAGAGAGAGAGAGAGAGAGAGAGAGAGAGAGAGAGAGAGAGAGAGAGAAAGAGAGAGAGAGAGAGAGAGAGAGAGAGGCAGGTTGGATGTATGGATGGATACAGTAGATGGATAGATATATAGTTATTTTTACATTATTCTAATTTTTAGCAGCAAAAAAAATCTGAAAGCCGAAAGAGTCTGAGAGAGAGAGAGAGAGAGAGAGAGAGAGAGAGAGAGAGAGAGAGAGAGGTAAATCAGCATTTTAAAATAAGATTAGCGTGAGTACAGACACCAAGTATCGACATTGGGCCAATACCAGCCTTATTTCAAGGTATCAGATACACGATGGCGACCGATACCAGTATTGGCCACTCTCTTGCTGCCATTTTACTACTGGGATCTAATGTGCATGCATGAAAAAGGATGACATTTTCTCGAGATACCCACTGTATGAGAGTCAGCTATCTTTAATAACAGGATTGTAGAGGAGTGGGAGGCATTGGGAGTTGTTACTTGAAGCACTGTTGTATTCAATTTAACTCTTTGCTTCACACAATATTATGCCTCACAAACAATGAAAAACAGCTTATTTGGAGCCCTGACATTAGCAGCTACTTCGGTCCCAGACTTTTACACCCTTGGTGCAGAAAGGAATGTCTGTTCAGTTGCTCCAGATAGTCACCCACCAAAAAAAACACTTTCAAACGCCACTTACTATATGTGCAATACTCTCTACACATTAAAAGCACAATGTTGATGTTTTTGTCAACTTGAAGCAACATTGTAAACAGCATTCCCGCCCCCCTAACGTTTTTCTTCATACTTGTCCTTTTGTTCTTTTCATAATACTGTATATTATTGCTCGCTGCTGTAACGAGTGAATTTCCCCGTTGTGGGATCAATGCGGGGATGAAGTCTTCTTCATCTTCATCTTTTTCTCTTGTCCATATGCATTGTTCATTTTTTGTGTACGTGTTTCAGGTCGTGGTGATATCCTGCCCCAGTTGGACTGCGCGATGCAAGATGTCAATGACAAATACATTCTTCTGGAAGAAATTGAGAAAGAGGCCCTGAGGAAAGCGCTGATAGAGGAGAGACAAAGATTCTGCACTTTTGTAGCCTTGCTGCGGCCTGTAGTGGTATGTAGTAAGTTGTAGTATTAACAGCTGGACTTTTCTGCAGCACCGCTGTATTGGTAGATACTCAAAAAAAAGTTCTGAAGGTCGTCACACTTCTGATACATACTGTTACGCATTGCTGTATAACTGTTTTTGCACTGCTGTGTCAATACTTGATTGCTCACTCTACTCTGCTATGAATGATTCTTACAGGATGAAGAGATTTCAATGTTGGGAGAGGTTACCCATCTCCAGGCCATCTCTGATGACCTCAAATCACTGACCTCTGATCCCCACAAGCTACCTGCTGCCAGTGAACAAGTAATACACCCGTGTTTAATGATTTATTTTATTTTTTATTTTTATGATCTCTTTCAAATGGTGCACCATATGTACATGTATAATGATTTTTATTCCTCCCAGGTGATCTTGGATCTGAAAGGCTCAGACTATAGTTGGTCTTACCAAAGTCCACCCTCTTCCCCTAGCACCACTACATCCAGGAAGTCCAGCATGTGCAGGTAAAAACACAATATATACACAACAACAACATAGAAACAAAAGATACATCTTAAATTAGGTGTACATTTATCTGCAAATGATATGAATTAACACAATGGCATGACAAATCTTTTCTTAGTCTTGTGTAAATGATCTTTCAGTTGTGCCATCTAGTGGTGGATATTTGCAGTAAGTTATTCATTGTTCACTGCGCTCCGTAGTGCATTGGTGATCGGATTTTTATTAAATGACAGTTCAGGCTCGGTCTTATCCGCAGGTCATTGATTCTGCTTGTCTTGCCATGGAGGAAAAAAAAAATCTGTTTTTACTTGTGTGTTACTTAGGTGCCAGCTAAACATATGCAACCCCATTACTCAAAGTTAATCAATACAGTCAGCAACAAGCAAGGTCCACCATCTGCCCCATGAATGGCCATCTTCTCTCGTTCTTGCTGACGTATAATTATTATTATTATTATTATTATTATTATTATTATTATTATTATTAACTTTTTTTAATGTACATTTATTCAGTCTCAATGTTGTAATAGCCTTCCAAGGGAAGACATAACTCCAAAGTGGCCCGTGGAAAAATAAATTCGTTTGACATCCCTGCCCTAGAGCGAATCCTACTACATCATTTATGCAAGAGTTATTTTTCTAGATTTTTCATCCGCTTTCGATACAATTCAACCAAGCATCTTAATTTCTGAACTACTCCATCAAGGAGTCAACCCAGATTTGATTCACTTGAATGCATCTTTCCCCATCAACAGAACACAGCTTCTGGACCAAGTTTTCGAAGATATCTATCAGAGCCACACCACGTGATTGGCTAAGAATATATTCTCCAACATGAGCCATGCTCTAAAAAATGAATGTGTGCTATTGCAATCTGGGCATCGGTACTGTGTGCCACGCTCTTAAAGGGTTGGGCGCAAACAGTCCTTTGTACATCAGTCAATGGTAAAGCTTTCTCAAAATCACACAAAATCAAATGAAGCCTTAACGAGAGTCGAGGTCTTTGTTGAATGTTAATGTTTATATATTGTGTTTGTGTTGTCCATTGACGTGCTTGTGTATGATGGTGCTGCTTTTTTAATACAAGGCAAATTTCAGATCTTGTGTCTGACAGTAAAGTATCTCTTTAAGATAGAGAGGAAATGCCCTCACCTTTGATGTTTGATCGAAGTCCAAAATGCCTTAGACACTGGTGTTGCTTTAATCGCTCCCTGTCAGCCTCTTTTACTGGTTATTATGCTTTTTTGACGAAAGTGGCATCAGCCAATGCCAGCTACATCATGATGGGCTGTTTTAATGGTTTCCTACCCTGTTTCCTCCACACACCCCAATTCCCTGCCTCCCTAATTTCCTCTTTTTCTTGACTCTTTATGCAAATTCCTGCCTTTTATTCACCTATTTGGGTACCCGTGGTTCTCTGCTCCTCCTGCCAATGTCCCTCCCTCCCTTCTCTGTCACAGTAGTCTGAACAGTGTTAACAGTAGTGACTCCAGGGGATCAAGTGGCTCTCACTCTCATTCTCCTTCCTCCTCTTCTTCCTCCTCTTCCTCACACCACCTCTTCCACCACCATCAACCTCGCCAACGGTACCGCAGCTCCACGCTGTCCCAGCAGGCCCCAGCTCGACTCTCCAGCATCTCCTCCCACGACTCTGGCTTCATCTCTTCATCGCATGACCAATGCACATCCTCCAAGTCATCGTCACCAATGCCAGCAAATAGCAAGGTCAGAAGATGCTCTCTCCTAAACACTTTTAATTGCGTCTGTAACGTGTACAGTACATGAAATTGAAGTAAAACTGTGTTGTATGACTTAGAATCTGAGTGGGGGATCCAGACGTTAATTATCTACCTAGGGATCCAGACGTTAATTGTCTACCTACCTATCCGTTAGAGTAATAACTTTGTGACTGTGGTAAGGTTATTATAGCTCGACTGCACAGGAAATTAGTGTAGGCTTCTATTGTAGCCTAGGGCAAAGCAAGTCACTCCCGTCATGCTATTGAATAGTCCACTGCTGTGACAAACTGATTTGAAGAGCGTAAGCATCCTGAGTTAATATCTTTACCAAATGCGCCTCTTAAAATGTAACACACACACTGGGAGTACTCTTTTTTTATTGTATCCCTATTCACAGGTCTTATTCTTGAAATTCAATTAAAAAAAAAAATCACTGAGAAGGTGGCTGGTCTACATTGGCTCTGTGTGGGGCTGGAATGAATGAGTTTATCGATGTTCGTTAAGACTCTTCCTTTAGCAAGCCTAACACTCCCAACATAAATGCCTTTTACTTCAGTTTAATGGACTTCCTGCTGCACCGCCTCCACAGCCTCTATGTTCACATGACTGCACAGCTGACTAACTGCTGAGAACGATGGAAAAGTTGCCTGTGCTCTCTAACATACTGCTTGTCTCGCTGACTGTCTGTCTATGCCATTCTGTCCATCTGTTTGTCTTTGTCTCCTGCTATCTTCTTTTGTCCCCCTTGCCGCTGCTTTGCTTGCCGTCCCAGCCTTGTGCCAGTTCCAGCTCCTCTGAGGTGTCAGATTTTGAGCACCTTCACTGTGACTTGAGCAGGGACCCCCCCTCTCTAGCAGCAGCTGCTGCTGCATCTCTGCATACTATTGACAAGGTGAAACACTCTTCCACTGTCTGCCATTCACTCTTAGACACAGAGAAAATTACCTGCATCCCTGCCCGCATCCTGCATCGTACTAAACATCATAACTGGCTAAACCAAGTCGTCAGCGTGCCTGTTTTCCCCTCACATGACAAAAACAAATTCTGATGAGCGAAAGGAAAGGGCGCCCTGTCACAAATAAGGCCTTCAAATCTAATGTCATCTCCATTATTTGTTTCTTCATTTGAACAATATTTTTTTTTTAGCTGTTTGTCATTATGTTGTACCATTTTACAGAGCCCACAAGGTGACATGGATTGCCTTTGAAACCATTTTTTTAAAGAGTTTTTAGGAGAGGATATAATGATTGCGAGGGAACAGATCTTTGTTCTTTCATGTCACCTTAGGGGCTCTGTCTCATTTTGAGATACACGTTGGGTGAAAAGTAGCATGGCATTAAAAGTTGCTATTCCAATTCTCATTCCTAGTACAACTGTATTGAAACAAATGATACATATTCTTTATTCCATGGGGAAATGAAAGTAAAGATAAAAGATAAGAAAAAGAAAGAAAGCTCCTGTCATAGCTCACTCCTGAACAGTCACATGACTGACCATCGAGAACATCATAAATAAAACAGTAAGAAATCCCCATTAGTGCTCTCTGTTTAAAAAAAAGTTTTTGTAATTATTCAGTGATACTGAATGATCACTGTTAGCATTAAAAGTTGCTATTCCAATTCTCATTCCTAGTACAACTGTATTGAAACAAATGATACATATTCTTTATTCCATGGGGAAATGAAAGTAAAGATAAAAGATAAGAAAAAGAAAGAAAGCTCCTGTCATAGCTCACTCCTGAACAGTCACATGACTGACCATCGAGAACATCATAAATAAAACAGTAAGAAATCCCCATTAGTGCTCTCTGTTTAAAAAAAAGTTTTTGTAATTATTCAGTGATACTAAAAACGCTGTAATTTCTGATGCCTAATTGTGATTCGCCCATGCTGTAGTTCTCCCAATTAATGTGCCATTTGTGTTCTTTTGCTTTTATTTTATACCTTTTATCATTTCAGTAATTCATCTCATTGTTTCTGTTGTCTCGTTTTGTCACAATCCACCAACATACACAAGCAGCTGTCCAATGGCTTTGACCACCACAGCCCAGCCAACTCCCCTACCAGTGGTGGGAGTTTGAGCTCTGGCTCCAGCACAGCCTTCCCCTTCTTCCCTCCATCTTCCTCTTCCTCCTCCTGCCCAACACGATCATGGTCACGTCCCGCTTCAGCACTCCTGCCAGATTTCCCTCACAACTGCCCCATGGGCTCTCCCACGATGCCTTCCTCTCATGTGCCCAGCTGGAAGGTTTGTCTTGAAGATTTTGTGGCATCTGATCAACATCCCATACTTGTGTTCTTGAAAAAAAAAAAAAATCTGTAGATAGAAAAAAAAATGAAGAACTCTGCAGTATTTATAATTGTTTTAGTGTGGCGAAAACTAAAACATTCCTCACAACACTAATTTATGTTTCTTTCCAGGACTGGGCAAAGCCAGGGCCATACGACCAGCCCATGATCAATACATTGCGAAAGAAGAAGGACAAGGGGCCTCCAGTTGTAATGGACAATCATGGAGTTGCAGGCAGGGAAAGCAGCGCACCGCAAAGCCTTGCAACCGCTACTCTGGCTCCAGCTGAGATGCCTCAAAAAGTGTCACGAGAAGAAAGGAACAGGACAACACCAGCCAAGGTTACTTTTCCATATCTCTTTGTCACTCTACCTTGTTATTTGTATGTACTAAGTCTCACTGCTACATCTCAACCTCAAATGTATTCATGACTGCAGGCTGGTGATCTTGACACCCATGATGAGCTGGCTTTGGCCTTATCAAGAGGCCTGGAATTGGACACCCAGAGGTCCAATCGAGACTCAATCCAATGCTCCAGTGGATACAACACTCAGACCAATACACCCTCCTGCTCTGAGGACACCATACCCTCACAAGGTAACCCAAAGCAATCGAGCACTCACCATCATTTTTAAAGTTTAGTTTTGTCAGTGCACTAACTTCTCTGTGTTTCTTCTCCTCCAGTGTCAGATTTTGACTATTTTTCAATGACCGAGGAACAGGACCCTGAGCAGCAGCAGTCCGACTTTGACAAGTCCTCCACCATCCCCAGAAACAGTGACATTGGCCAGTCGTACCGACGCATGTTTCAGACCAAGCGGCCTGCCTCCACAGCCGGCATGCCAAGCACACATGCTCCCTACCCGGTGCAGGGGGGCTACCACAACGGAGCCTGTCCCTCAACACCCACCCACAAATATACATCATCCGGGCCTTATTCACCTACTCCAACAGGTAGGTGCACACCACACTTATATCATCCTGTGTCCTTTTAAGTACAGTGGTACTTTGACTTATGAATTTAATAAGTTCCATGACAAACCTTGTAACTCCGTTTTGCAAATCAATTTTCTCTATTGAAATGAATTTCAGTTAATTCTTTGCAGCACCATAAAATGGTTTTGATGGCATGCGTCTGCTACATTGTGTACACTTCTGTTCTTATCAAGACACTTATTAAATAAACCATCCTATCATTTGTGTTTCTGTCCCTCCAGGTTGTTCAAATCAGGTGATTTATTCTGGTTACCATAATGTCTCTGGGTCCCATTCTACAAGTCATGGTCCAGTTATTGTCACCCCAGGTGTTGCCACAATCCGCCGCACGCCTTCCTCCAAACCTTCTGCTCGCCGCTCAGGCTCAGTTGTCGGCACAGGTCCCATTCCTATTCGTACACCAGTCGTCCCCGTAAAAATACCAACAGTTCCCGACATGTCAGGAGTCCTAAACGGGAGCAAGATTGGAGAGGAAATCGGAAAGATTCCAGATTCTCCCACATTTCCACAAGGCGACAATGGTGGAGTGCCACCTGTGGTGTCTTGGAGCGGTCAGGCGTCGAGCAATCCTCCCACCGTCCCCCTGCCCAACCAACTGGCCCAGCAGCACCCTCACAGTGAGCGAGGAGAAACTGAGACAGGAGACGAGGCAGATGGCAACATGCTGGTGGCCATCCGCAACGGAGTCAAGCTCAAGAGGACCCTCACCAATGACCGCTCAGCACCTCGGATTGCGTGATCCCAATGACATGCAAAGTCAAGACCGTGTGAGAGAGAAAAGAGAGTTTTATTCAAGAAATTTAACTATTTCTTTTTGATGGGGTGTTAAGATGTCTTCCTACATGATTAGGTATCAGATCATCAATGAGGTCACTGTGTCTGGTTAGTGATGCCTCCCCGAAAAAATAACAAAAAGGGGATTGCACAACCACCTTGAGTACTTAACATGATTTACCATGATGCAAACCACAATCTGACGATTGAGTCAATCGATGGTTAATTTCAGAAGTAAAAAAGATGACTGTGAGCGTGTTCACATCCAAGAAGGCTACATGAACATGGGGAAATGAGGCAAGTGATGGAGTGCAATGTCTAGGGGAGGGTTGCCCAAGGAATTGCAGGTCGTGGTGGTCATCGTTGACCTGTGTTGAGGTCACTGTGACCTTAAAAGACCTTCATGCATCTGCACAATGAGTTACTGTGGGCAAAGCCGTCCTGCATCCACTGTAGTCATCCACAGCATCACTGTGGACACACGTCTGAGGTAGCCAGCAAGTTTCACAACAACGCAAACATCAATGCATGATGTTCTAATCTAGATAAAGATATGGAGTGCAGCAATACACGGTTGCTCTTTTCCGTTCGGATCCACGAGTATTCCTATTACCTGCCTAAATTCTTGATTTACGTCCATGTTGCCAGAAGCATGCTTTTGCTGCTTTTCACACTTAAACCTTCATGCTACGACACAGAGCCTGACACTTTCAGCATCATCCCTTTCAACAAGAATGTGTCGCAACACAGTTGTCTTTAACATTATATAGCAAGTTGTGTACATACATAGACCTTTTTTTTTTTAAATAGCATTTACTGTATTAGCAGTCACAGGCACTGCCTCATACTGTGGAGTTATTCGCACATACAACTTACTAATAAACGTTATGTGGAAAAAAGGGATACGTTTAACACTTCAATGTTTTTATGGAAGTTTGTACTAGTTGAGAACCCTTATGAGGAACTGTTTCTTTCAAAACAATCTGTATCATTTAATCTATTATCTCTGGACAAGTTCAAACTTTGGTGTCATGTCATGTCAATGGTGTTATGGAAACACATCCACTCCAAAATTGTATTATTAAAGAAATGCTGTAGTTTAATTTTTACAGGACAATAAGATGCTGTAGCAACATTAGGCTTAGCATCATACTTTGTGTATTTGCATTTCTGTTAAAGCACTGTGCATCGTGGTGACTGCATATCAGGCTTGTAAACATTATTTACTTGTACAAGCATTATTTATTTATTTTCTCAATTTTTTTGCAACTCACCCTCAGTTTATAACATCATAACAGTGGTATTGACTCCATGTTACCTGATTTTCTGTTATTGTTGTTTCTTTAGGTTTCTGGCTTAAGTGCCATAAACTATTGGTCTATTATTTCACCTATGTTTACTGTATAACCTGCATTTTGTCAGAGCTCACTGGTGACAAAACTAAAACAAACAAACAAAAAAAAACTACGTTGATTTAGCTGCCCTGACAGTCTCTGCACAAGCACATGCATATTGACTTTGTAATGAATACACTTCATCAGTATTATTGATGACGAGGAGAGACAGTTAGTCCAGTTTTCCCCAAAGTGTTTAGACTAATATGTTTTATTTGTGTTCGGATCTCAGATGTTTTAACCAAACATACTCTCATTTCAGCCGTCCACTTGTACATAATTTGTATTATCCACCTTGGGATCTTCATATTTAAATGTCTAGTACAGCAGTTATTATATATTATATCGGAGTTCCTTATTGTCTGTATGTAGAGACTGAGAAGTTTATCCTCTATATTCTGAGCAGGCGAAAATCAACTTGTTTTAGTTGTTCAGGTTTATAAATTCACACTTACACACTTATCTACACTGTTCCACGGGCAGTTTGTTCCCCAAAGTACGTTATTTTGTGTAACGACCATGTCAGCGATATAATAAAAAAAAAGACAAATGTGACTCCTTGTACTTCAAAAATAAGATCTTTCTTTTACCTCCTTTGAAATATTTCCTTCCTCCCAAATTAAGCAAATCATTGTTGACGGCCAAAATATCCACATTTGAATATTGCGGTTTCACATTACAAAGACTTGCATGTTGAGTGGTGTAATGTGGGAACATGATTCAAGGGTGTGAATGTGATTACGAATGGTTTTCTACAGGTGCCTTCACTGTCCAAAGTAGGCCCGCTATCCATGGGACAATTTGTGTAGAATTTGGATGAACAGTCACCCATATGCAACATCATGGCCACCAGGGGTCAGTGTTGCCTGTGCAATTCACTACAGTTTATATGATTTATATACTGTATAACACGTGCCCGTGGTTTCACGTGCCCCGAAACCACTCATTTGATCAATAATCGCGTATTAAAACACTCAATCGCGTATTAAAACACTCAAGCAGAAGGCTTCAGATACATTTGAGGACGATTTATAAGGACACCGCTGAACTCATCATCGGAATGTTTCTCTGCGCTGGAAAAAAATTCCACTGCATAGCTTTAAACGGAGTCATTTTTACTTGAGGTGTGGAATTCTGCCTAGTTGGGCGACTGAATGAACGCACCACGTGCGTAAAAGCCAGGAATGTGATCACGCCCAAACCTACTTATAACGTTGATAATCCCTTAAAATTAACATTCTTACATTCCAACAGAGCGGAGGTGGTGGTTCCTGCGCGTTTACAAATTAGCTGATCATTAAAAATAAAAGTAACAAAATATATTTGAATTTTATCAGATGATCTTTTCTCTGAGCTTGACATATGATTATCTAGTATTCTTCAAAGTTAATGTCGATTTCGACTCCCCCAAGCACTCCAGTGTAGTAAATCCGAAGTCTTCCTGAACGTGCCTACGTTCCCTGACGTCACGGCTACGCGCTGAAGAAAGCTGCTCTTTCATTGGTCATTTGTGTGGATGCGTCCAGCCGCTCCAGTCCTCTCCCATCCGCCTCATAGCGTCCTGTCAACCGAAGGTTACAACAACTGGCTTGACGCCTGCTAACATAGTCATTGACGCGCATATTTCAATAAAAAATTGTTTGCATTTAAGTTTTTTTTCTCGCTCCCATCTCCAGTTACCGCGCGGCGAGTGGAAAGAAGAGACATATGCGTCGAGATAGTTGCTGCTGTTATTTTCCGTTGTATTCCGGAGCGAGTTGGACGGGACAGCCGAGGCTCGACTGACTGAGGTGAGACAAGTTGCACTTCGATTTGGACCATTATCGCCTCATTATTGAGCCTTGTCAGTCCCGGTGGGCCCGTAGAACCCACGAATACGTTATTGTTACAGCCACGCCTGCTTTCAGCTATCAAATGACCCGACTTGTGTTTTTCATGTGACCGCTTCTGAACTGAGAGTTGTACATGTAGTAGCCTACTAACGGGGCTTGTTCCATGACCCTACAGTTTCCCGAGTCATACCCACTGCCACTGTCGTCCTCTCCCCCGAGATGCTGCCCCGCCTGCGGGGTGTCCTGCGGCCCGTCCTCTCCCTGAGAGCCGGTAGGGGGCCGTTCGAAGCCGGACTCTTGAACCACCAAGCGGAACCCTCGGTGTCTCTCCCGGGTGAGCCGGCCCCACTGCTTCCGGTATCCGCGCTGGTTCTGCGGCGTCACCTCGGCACACACCCGCTGAAAGAGCCGGTAGAGCCCCTCAATTCTCCTCGAGGGGCCAAGGAGTTTATTTATAGCCTCCATCCTTCTGAGCGCACTTGCTTGCTGCGGGAACTGCACAGGTTCGAGTCCATTGCCATAGCTCAAGGTGGGTGATTGCCTACGACAGTATGTCTTTCTGGAGTGTAAAAAACCCTTTTCTCGACAATGCAGCTGTGAATGGCAAAACTGTGGAAGCATGTACAGTAAGTGATACCCTTACCTCCATATCCATCTTAAGGTCCATGTAGTAGTACGCTCTTTGTCCTCATAAGTAAACACAAACATGCTAGTAGGACAACGATATGTTACCGTGAGACAATTTGAGTACTGCGTGCTACCAGTGAGAATAAAATTCTATTAGTTAACATTTGGTGCTTCACTGGTAGTACTAGTATGTCAACTGTTGCACAGTTTAGTCTCACGAGTAACATATTGGAACCAAAAGGCTACAAGTGCATGACACATGTCCGTTAGTGGACCTAGTAGTGTTACCAGTTTAGTAGCGTATTTAACGGAAAAGGTTTAATTGTGTACTTGTAGGCAGCACGGTGGGCGACTGGTTAGTGCGTCTGCCTCACAGTACAGAGGTCATGGGTTCGATTCCGGCCCTGGCCTTTCTGTGTGGAGTTTGCATGTTGTCCTTGTGTCTTGATGGGTTTTCTCTGGGTTTTCCAGTTTCCTCCCACGTTCCAAAAACATGCATGACAGGCCGATTGAAGACTCTAAATTGTCCCTAGGTGTGAGTGTGAGCGTGGATGGTTGTTCGTCTCTGTGTGCCCTGCGATTGGCTGGCCACCAGTTCAGGGTTTCCTGCGCCGACTCCCCAAAGACAGCTGTGATAGGCTCTAGCACCTCACACGACCCTTGTGAGGATAAGCGGATCGGAAAATGGATGGATGGATGTATACTTGTAGGCCAAAAGTGGCAGTAGAAGTGGAAAAACCGTTACTACTAAAACAGTCGTTTAATACTGCGCATTAGTCATTCTACCAGTGCGTTGAATTGCCTTGCAGAGACAAGGTGAGAAAATATGGAAAATCAATCAGAGCCTTTGTACTAACAATGCTAATGCAACCATCTGGAATGTCCCGGAGAAGCAAGAAAACACTGTTGAAAGAAAAAAAATGCCTAATTTGTCCTTGATCTCCTCACGTGGCATTAATTTATTTCCATCTCTGATCTTTGATCGTTGGGAGTTTATTTATGCCAGAAGAATTTGATCTTCAATCTTACACTCTGAGTTTGTTCCAACAAATTAAGGTGACTGGCAGGCATTTTAAAAGCCTGGTTTGAATCGATTTATTGCAGTAGTTGTTTGTTATTTTCTTTCATGCATGTACTGTAGCTGTCCTGATTGACTAATTAATGCAGTTACAAGCTTCATATCCAGGTAGCATTCTGCAATAATGAACTCCCCAGACACTTCGTTAGGTACACCGACACAATCGACTGGTCATCTGATACAAGAGCTGTATGTAATTCAGCATTAATACCTAACATCGTTGTATTTGCAGACTCTCATTATTGTTATTGTTACATTTGCAGATCTCATTTGCAAAAAACGGGTACCAAAATGTCAGCCATTGACTAGGATCAATTGATCATCTTCAACTTCTGACTTCTAAAATCATCAATCGTCATTTGTGACCCTTTTTTTTTTTTTTTTTTTTTTTTATTGTCCGATGGGACATTTGGTCATCTGTTTCAAATTCTATCATTGATATGTGAGGAAGCCGAAGTTGTCTTCAGAGAATCTAATCTTCTGTGGAACCCCTGAACTCAACCTCCAATGTGTTTAGATGTGGGAGCAATTTTTATCATCGGAAATAGAAATACCGACATTAAGTTCCCGGGTCAAGCTGTTGCCGCCATCAAACTTTTTTTCACTGCACATTTTCTAAAGTTGCTGATCTTAACTGTCTTCCAAGTATATAAATAAGGGCAGCCATTGTCAGTGCTTGTTTGGCGAGTCTCATTACATCATGACCAAAGGAAGCTTATGTACATTGGGTTCCTTCTTCTTATATTAGTACTTTTATTACAGTTGTTATTATTATCCATTTGGTGACAATGGTTGCCATTACAATACATAATTACATTTTTACATTACATTACATACATAATTTACATTTTGTGCATCAGAAAATACATTATGTATTTTCTGATGCACAAAATGCGAATGCTGCAAATCTTGGTCTGGGCCAAGAGAGAACATTAATTGATCATTATAATAGATCAATGAGTCAGGTAAGGAGAGCCGTGCCAAATACGCTCTGCGTTGGGAGTCCTCACATGGTTGTTTTGCTTGCTTTGAGAGCAAAGAGCCTTGAGAAAGACTTTTATCATTTTCTTGGATGGCTTTGTGCTTCAATGCTGGCACTGCACACTCAGTGACAAACTTCAATCACCGGCTTTAAAATGGGGAGTCAAGAAGTATAAATGTCAAACAAGCTCTAATATCCAGCGAGGCCAAAACAATCCTCATTTGGTTGGATTCAAGCGCCGCTTGTATTATGACACTTAAGATGCTTAAAGTGTACTGTACTGAGAACAAATGCAACATATGAACATTTTGTGAAGAATTTGTAGAATCCTGCTCTCAAGTGAACCGCGGTGAAAGCGTCCTTGGCACGTAATAATAACAAACAAGCCTCCTTTTGCTGCATAAATATTGACCCCAATTTATAACTCCCATGAGCTCAACAGTTTTGCGTCAAAGTAAAAATAAACTCTTTAATGTGCAAATTCCTCCCCGGTTCTTGGAGGAAAAGTATCCTCACCCCCACTCACCCGATCAAATGTTTAAAAAAAAAA